AGATGCACGTGAGTAGGCTCAAGAATTCAACCACTCTGCTTCACTTGGACTCGGGCTACTTCTCTCGTGTCGTCAAATGTACCATGAGGCTGTAGGTATTCTCTATGGCGACAACACTTTCATTGTTTCGCGAGTTGTCTCGAGGCACGATGATGATGAACTTCTCCTAGGCCCGAGCAGGACCGCGTACCACCAGTTCAACTACGGTCCGTTGTGGTTCCAGAGCCTCGACACTCAAACTAGCAGGATAAAGAAAATGGTCATCGATGCAGGCGCTGTCTGTTCCCCCGATGTTGAGTGGTTGCATATGAAATTTCTCCCTTTTCTGAGAATTCTCTGGGCAGGTTGCGAGATTACCTTTGCTGATACGGGTAGAAGGCATTCATGTTCAATGCGTGGACGTAATGACCGGGACGATATTAAAGAATATGCTGGACATCTAAACAGATGCCTTACCAATCTTGGGAGAGGAGATGCGTTGGGCCTTCGAAGACTCTCGCAATCAGTCCTATTGCGCTCAGTGGTCATTGCAAGCGACTATGGATATGTCACTTGTAGCAGAACGGAGCGCGAGTTTCTCATTTCGAAAGATTCAGGAATGGTTCAGTGGGCACCTGAGAATACCCTTTTGAATCGTCTTAGTGGAAAGCCAATGGGTCTTATATGCCGCTATGCAGCTACAGAGCAAAAGGTTATCAGATTCAATCTCGACAATCGTACAATCAAAGATTTCGATCAGAGCATCTTCAACGCTTCACCCGAGTTCCGATATTATTGCGCTACGTGGCTTGCTCGGTCCATCCCAATAACCATGGAGCTAGAAACAACGAAACCAATCGCTGACTTTGACAACTTCAAAACACTACAGAGTCTTTTTGAGTGGGCCGAAGATAGGGCTTTATATCCCCTACACGGTAGCATTATAGTTAGAAGCTCAGAAGCCCAAACCCGGTCTCTGGAAAATGTCTGCACGTTGGCACTCAACTTCTGCCTGGCAACGCCTAGCACATTGACCAAAGTACCAGACTCCGCAACAATCAATCGGATCGGCATGATTGATTCCTATCTAGGTTAAAGGCTGCCTAATGAAGTAATTCTTTAACCTATATAGGAATCAATCATGTCAATCGATTGATTGTTGCGGAGTCTGCAAAGTACGAATTAAGTTAAATGGGCTTCTCTATACTTCATTTAAACTACACATCTATAGTGGTCGAGGATCATTCTACATGAATATTCAGCTGGAATATATGGATAAAGACAAAATACAGTATAAGAGCAATCGGCTGTTCTTTAGAGAAGTCGAATGGCACATATATTTCCATTTCACAGACCTTCTCTACCATCTTCCGCCAGATAGACTCCCAGTACAATCCGACATATGGATGGATGGCCACGGTCACTTATATCAGAAGCCTACTTCAAATTCAGAGCTTTTACCCATGGAATGTTTCTACAAAAAGCTTGGATTTGGTGGCAGAAAGCTCACTCTCATGGAGGAAGCTGTAGTAGAACGATATAGCACAGAGGGTTCTTCTCATGAAGGGTGGGATCACGAGGTCCATGAGTGTATGTATTGTGCATGGTCCTGTAACAGGCTGAGCCTATTACATGCGCTACGCTGTGTGCGTAGCTGTCGTCATGCGATTCCTTCGAGATACATCTATAGGTTTCTGTCATCATCCATCTAATTCTACTTCGGCCCATCTTCGGTCCGCTCCTGTATTTATGTACAGCTAGCATCCTTTTGTAGCT